AAGGGTTAGCTGTTGCATTTCATAAACTAACCGAAGTTCAGTCTACTGATGCAGCATAAGAGATGTAAAAAAAAAAAAAAAAAAAAAAAGAAAAGATGAAAAAAAAAAAAGGAAAGTCGCTCTTTAGGGCTTTTTATTTTAGGGAAACACTGACGAATGTTCAGAGCTCCCGTTCTGAGTGACGCTTTTCATGATCTCGTTTCATCAAAGCGCCTTTCCTTCCTTAATATTGTTCAACTGTGAATGTAGAAATGGGGGAAAAAAAAAGAAAAAATTAAAAAAAAAAAAAGCAAACTCTTGCGTTAGAGGGTATAGAAGTAAATTGTCAAACAAGATTTCAGGCTCACAAACAAAAATATAAGCGTTAAGTGCTCCGAATTGGCAGTGAGAATGCAAAGGGAAAGATCTCTCCTGACTTGTACTGTAGCAGCCCGAACACCCACAAAAATTGTGCCAAAGAGTTGAAAAACAAAATAAAACTTCAGGTAATATTTTGGATTGCAAAATGAGGATAAATTCAATGTTCAAACAAAATCTGATAAAATGCCATTTGGAAACTGCTTGGCCTTTTGTGCTCTTTATTTGATCAAATCTAATGTGGTATTGGTCTCTTGCTGCACTTCAAAAACAAAAAAAAGGAAAAAAGAAATTTATATAAAATATATATATACTGACTTGAGCTTACACAAGACGGCACTTGTAAAAGGTTATATTTTTCCACTGCAGTTGAAGATTAATAAAATGGTGTCAAACATTCCCCAAAACTTCCTTTTTGTATTCTTGGTCTTTCCAGTAAAAGGGGAACCCATTAGCGATTTTTTAATAGAGTAGTAACAGTCTGATGGGCAACTCAAACGAATTGGCTGCTTACTACTTCCCTAATCATGCGATGTCTTACTTTCACATGAAGGATCAGAATCTCGTTTCTTCTTAAATGAGACTTTTGCTTTTGAGGAATAGTCCCTTGCTTATCCTAGATTGTCAGCAATAAGCCAAGAAAAACGGAGGAGGTGCAGGGCTTCAGACTATTTTTCATTTCATTTTTATTGATGCAGCTGTTGATACTACCAGCATTTGAATCTGCAGTTTAACGTGGACATTTTTAAAAGCTGCTTGTGGGAGGGAGAGTAGAAAACCTTAGCCAGTATTTTGTTTCCTTTTGCTTTGTGTTTCTTTTTTTATTTTTTTTTCTCCAGGAAGCAGGTGGCAATCTGCTTTATTCCCCAACTTCCTTTTCCCAGTCTGATCCTTGGACCTGCTGCAGTGGAGTCCGCTTTTGTTGCCCATCTGCACTGCAGCATCCACAATAGCTCTTGTACAGGGTATCAGATATGTGCCTTTCAGTGCTGGGTTCAGATTGCAGTCGAAGTGCCGACTTTGAACCAGTGTACAAAAATAAAATAAAATAATAACCTCCCAGGTGCTGAGGCGAGGAGGAGCTCCGCTGACCGGGAGCGCCAGCCAGCTCCTGAGCACGGGTAGCGAGAGGCCTGGGCCACGTCTCGAGTAATGCCTTTTCTTTTTATTTTGTTTCTTGAGGTGGGGTGGGATTTCCTTTTAAAAAAAAAAAAAAAAAAAAAAAGAAAGCCATTCCTGAAGTTGGGGAGGGGGCGTGGAGGGAAGAAATCTGATCATTCCTCAGTGCTACCTGTTTCTGTCCTGTGTGGCTGTTCAGCTGTAGACAGCAGGAGAATAAAGTACACTGAGACAGTAGTGGAAACAAACCCGTGTCTGTGCTCTTTGTTGGGGCTCTGGGGGTTTTGTTGGCTTCAGGGGAGCAGCGGCTGGCTCGGGGGGAGCGCGAGCACCCCTGGGGCTTCCTTCGGGCTCCTGCGGAGCTGCTTTCGCTGCGGCCGTGCTGGTGGAGCCCTCCATGGTGGCTCCTCTCCGGGGGCTGCCCCAGCACCGCGTGGGGACGTGCCTGGGGCTGTGTCCAGCTCCTTGCCCTGCCCCGGTGCCTTGGCACGGGGACGATGCCCTCGAGGGGTGCCCACCTGGGCTCCCGTTACCGGAGCTCTGCCGTTCCCCCGGGCACACCGAGCGAAGGCTTCCCCCAGCAAGGACCTGATGCCTGAGGAGGACCCAGCCGCCAGCAAACCGGTAGGCCCGATTTATTTACCTTCTAAATAAAAGCCGCTTTATTTTGGTTTTCGTTACTTTTTTGCTGCTTCGTTTGACAGAGCCGCTGCTGCTCCCCCCCCCCCTGCCAGCCGCGGCCCCCGCGGTGCTCTGAGACGCCGTGGGTGTGCGGCGGCCGCGCGCTTCCTGCGGGGAGCCGGGGGTGACAGCGGCGTGGCGGCAGCGTGGCGGCTGCCATCTGTGCCACCGAGCGCGCGGGGGGCGAGCGGGGCCCTGGGCGATGCCTCCCGGGGACGGTGCTCGGCCTCCTCCCGGTGCTCGGCCCCATCCGCCCCGCGGGTACCAGGCCCCGGGGAGCAGCCGTGGGCAGGAGATGCCCAAATCCTGCGTCGGGGCTGGGAGAGGAGCGAGGTGAAGGCGCTCGGCTTTGTGCTCCCGGGGGTGACAGCGGGGCCCTGGCCCCATTTCAGCACGGGGATGCTGCCTGGCACCCGGCGGGCTCGGGGCCTGGTGGCTTCAGCAGCTGGCGCTCGCTCCCCGGTGCCACCACGCTTTGGGCTGAGCCGTTCCTTGTTTCACTGTTTTTTAGCCCTCCCAGGCAGATCCTGGCCCCCCAGATCACAGCTTCCATGGGGCGACAACACAAATGTCGCCTTTGGACCAAGCACAAAGATGGGAGCATGGGGATGAGGGGACTCAGGGTGCACAGGGGACTTGGGGACCCTCCTCCACCCGCCCTGCCATGGCCCCGGGCTCTCCTGGGGCTGCAGAGGGGCCAGAACCGGGCGATGCCCACAAAGCCCCGGAGCCCCGCGTGGCAGGGAGCTGCTGAGCTCAGCGTCGGCCTCTCGAATGCCTGGTGCTCTTCTTTCAGACAAGTGCTGCTCCGCAACGGGCACAGATAAGCCAAGTGGAAAACGATCTGAGGCTTTCCACTCTAAGTGGCCGTGTGGCAGAGTGATTAGGTTCTCTGCACAATGATGCATCTGCGCTGGTCTAACCTCGCTGCTTAAAATAGCGCTGCTGCCAGCGTGGCTGTGGCTGCCGGTGTGAATTGAGTTCCAGAGCCCTGCGCTAGACCCTTGTGAGCGAGCAAAAAGCGATGGGCAAATTGCTGCTCGTCCCAGGGGCAGCGGCCCAGGCGCTGCGTGAGGCTCTTCCCTAACACACGGCGATGGCCTGGGCCCGAGCCCTGCACGCGGACCCTCCGTGGGGCTGGGGGGGCTCAGGCTGTGCCCCCTGTGCTGCCGCCCATGAGGGCTGCGCAGCCCCGCACGGCACCTGCCGCCTTTGCACACACGCATGGGTGAGGCCTCGCTGTTTTCTTTGCGTCAAAATTAACTTGGAACCTGATGGAAAACCTTAATTTGCACTTCAAAGCGCTTTGCAGCAATCTGCGAGCATGAGCAGAGCCCGAGCTGGTGCTCCTTTTTTTTCTGGGCCCTGTTTGCGGCACAGCCCGGCCCCGTGGCTCCCGCTGCCCCTCGCAGGGTGACAGCTCCCGGGCTCACCGGGGCTCTCCTGGGGCACCCCCGGGCCCTGTTCCTCCTCTCTCGGCCATGCACCAGACGTGACGCGCTGCCTCCCTGGCAGAAATTCAGATGGAAATGGCTCTGCTCTGCTCGCAGCAGCCCATTAGCAGCCCGATGCCTGTCCTGGCTGCGGGGCAGCGTGAGCGGGGGGAGGCAGCGGCAGCGCAGCCGTCTCCAAAAACCTCCGGGGCCCAATGCTGCGATTTTGGCTCGGGAAGGCCCAGCGCCGTGCCCAGCTTTGGCTCCAGCCCTGGGGCTGCCTCAGCGTTCCCCACGGGACCTGCTGATGTGGGGTGTCGGGGGTCCGGCCCCGCTGCCAACCACCCCTCTCCTGCTCCAAGAGCGAAGCTCCCGGGTGCCGAGTGACGTCGGCTGAATCACCGCCGAGCCGCATCCAGGCGCTGATGCAGCCGCGCTATACATAGCGCCGGGAGGGGGGCTGCGCAGGGGGTGCGGGATGGGGTCCCCCGGGAGCGCCTCTGCCAGGGGCTTCGCCGCCGTCTGCTCTCGGTGGGGATGGGGCTGCCGAGCTCAGCCCAAAGCGCGGCGTTGTCCTCGCCGCTGCCCTGCCCCGACGCCTCTGCCCCCAGCCCCGGCACGAGCCGTCGCGCGGTGGAGGCAGATGGAGGGGCCGGGGCTGGTTCCCGTACTGACGTCTCCGTCTCGCCTCCGTCGCCAGCGCCTGAACGGGAGCGGAGCCGCCTAAACCGCGAGCTGGGACGCGGCTCCTGGGCTCCATCTCGCACCCGAGGGCCTTGGCAGGGATTTGCACGCCTGGGGGGCTGGCGGCGGTGCTGTGGGTCCGTCCGTGTGGGGCCGTGGGTCCGTCCGGCTGCTCCCGGCTTCCAGCCTGGCACCGGGCCCCGCTCCCCTAGCCTGGGGGCTGCCGGGGTTTGCCCCCAGAGCGGGGCTGAGCTCGCTGGGGGAGCCCTCGGAGGCAGCGGCAGCGGCAGAAGCAGAGCAGCTATTAATAACCCATGTGCAGCAAAGGGAAAAAAAACGCAATTCCATAATGGAAGCGGCTCCGAGGGAACAATTCAGGGAATAAAATGTTCTCCCAGCCCCCACAGCATGTGGCTGCGGCTCTGCTCAGCCCTCGGCCCCACCGCCACGGGGCCGTGCTGGGAGATGAAAGGAGCCCCCCCCCGACCCCCCGACCCCCCCCCCCCCGCTCTCTGCCCCAACGGGGGCCGGGGGCAGCCCCAGGGCACTGCCCCAGGGCTCCGGTACCGGGGGGGCTCCGGTCCCCGTGGCGCCCCTTGGGGGGGAGGCGGGGGGCTGCAGCGGGCGGGGGCCGGGGCGCACCGCCCCCGGGGGGGCTCTGCCCTGCTCCGGGACCGGCACCGGGACCGCGGCCGGGCCGGGCGGGGGCGGCCCCGGAGCGGAGCCGGGTCCCGGCGGGCGGCACCGGCGCGGCCCGGGGCGGTACCGGCGCGGCCCGGGGGGAGGGCGCTGGCGGCCGCCCGGTGCCCACGTGGTTTCTCGGTGGCTCCGGAGCGGAAGAAACGGCGGCGGCCGGGGCCGGGGCTGCGGCGGGGGCGGTCGGGACCGGGACCGGGACCGGCACCGGGGCTGACACCGGCACCGACACCGCGACCGGGGCCGGGGGGAAGGAGCCGCATCCCGGCGGCCGCCGCCGCAGCGCCTCCCGGTGCTCGCCGCCCCTCCCGGTGAGTGCGGGGCCTGGGCCGGGGGCGGGCAGCGGGGGAGGGAACCGGAACCGGGCTCCCCCCGCCCGGGCCGGGCTCGCCGCGGCCCCGCTGCTGCCCGGCGGCTCCCGGCCTCCGCGGGCCCGGCCCCGGCCCCGCTGCCGCCCCCTCCCCCGGCCCGGCCCCCTCCCGCTCCCGGCCCCTTCCCCATCCCCGTCGCCATCCTCGCGTCCCCCCCCGGGCCCCGTCTTTGTCCCCATCCCCGCCCCGCTCCCCGCCCCGACCCCTCCTGCGCCTTTGTCCCCGGCTCCATCCCTGGCCCCGACCCCCCCCGGTTCCCCCTGCCGCCCCCCGCCCCCCCCCCGGGTTTCGTGCGGGCTCCCCGGGCAGCCCCGGCAGAGGGGAGTCCTGGGGGGGGGGGGTCTCGGGGCCGTGCCTGGGGCTCGGGGCGCGCTGCCGGCGGGCGCCGAAGAGCCGCAGACCCCGGGGTCGCGGGGGGGTGCCCCCCCCCCCCTCAGCCTCGTGCACACGCACGTGCGCGCCGCCGCACCGGGGCCTCGTGCCCGCCGCGCCCCCGGCACCGCTCCGGGACCCCCGGGCTCGCCCCCTGCCCGCTCGCCCCCCTCGTACCTGCACGGCCGCCAGCCCCCCCCGCTAGCCCCCCAGCCCTGGGGAGCCGGGTGCCGGAGCTGGCCCCGTCCCTGCCCGCTCCCGTCGCCGTGCTGGGGGGCTGCAGCCCCGGTCTCGCTCTCGTTAACGGCGTCCCCAGGCCTCCAGGAGGGAGCGAAGCCGCCCGGAGCCTCGGGGACCTCCTGCGGCCCTGGAGCCCGATGCCATCGCCGCCGCCTCGCGCTGAGCCTCTCGCGGCCGACCCACCGAGTGCCCCCTGGCCACAGCTCGCTGCCCGCGCCTGAGCTGCCCCCGCCGCAGCCCTGCCCAGCCCGCACCGCATCGCCCCGCGCCCGGGGCCCGCTGCCAGGCAGGTGTCAGGAGGGGTCCGGCCTGGGGAAACTGAGGCACAGGGCAGGGAGCAGCAGGGCCAGGCACCGGGCTCGGTACCCCGCTGGGAAGCTTGGCTTGGGGGGCCCTCTGTTTCCCCACAGGGCAGTGATGTTGGTGCCCTCCCTGCCCAAGCACGGGGGGGATCTTGGGGTGCCCCATCCCCTCTGTCACTGCCCCAAGGGGTGGATTTAAAGCCCTGAGGACAGCAAACGGGGACAGAGGAGGGGCTGTGCTGCTGGGGGTTTTGTCTGCGTTTCACGCTCCTCACCCCAGCGAGGGGCTGCCTCGCCCCCCCCCCCGACCTTCCCAGGAGCTGGGGGCACGGGGAGCACCGGGGCTTCTGCACCCTGGGCTGGGGCAGCGAGAGCGCCGGCTGGCCCGGGCTCTGGCCGTGGCTGGGGGGGGCCCGTCTGTCCCCGCCTGCCCCCCCGCGGAGCTCGCCTCCTTCCCTGCCTGCTGCCATGAATTATTTGTGTGGCCGCGGCTCCCGGATGAGGCTGCGCCGCTGCCCGCGGGTGGGATGGGGCGAGCTGCCCCCGCTGCCCCCTGGCCGGCTCCGGGCATGATCTCCTCGCTCCCCGGCTGGTGGCTGCGGCCGCACGCAGGGCTCCCGCTAATTGCGTGCCTCGAAATAACGACCAGCTCGGCGGGGACAGCACTGCCAGCAGCCTGGTCCCCGCTGAGTGCAGGGGGGCATCGGGCAGCAGAGCCTTGCGGGAGCCTCTTTGGCCCCAGCACCCTGCTCACAGGTGGCTTTGTGACCATCGTTCTGGGGACAAACCCTGCCGTGCCGGGGCTGTGAGCGGCCGGGCAGGATGAGGCCTCACTGGGGCTGTGCTGAGCCAGGTAGCTCCTGGGGGTGAGCGGCAGTGCCGGTATATAGGGCACCGCGCGGGCTCCGTGCCGCGTGGGAGGGCGGAAAGCAGCTCGCGTGCGTTGCGGGGTGGGAGTCGGCGGCACCGGCCGCTATTTCTGGCACTCGCTCCCTGGGGGACGTTGGGAAAGTCACCGCGTCCCCCTGGGGCTGCTCCGCCGGGATGCTCTCTGCCGTCCCCTGCTCCTCCCCAGCATCTTGGGGGGCTGCTCCCCTGCTGCTCCCCCCTTTCTGTGGGCAGGAGAGGTGACGCGTGCCCTGTGTCCCCTCTGGCCTGCCCGGTGGCCCCGCAGCTCCGAGGGCTCCTGAGCCGCTGCGGCCGCTTCTGTCCCCGCCTCACCCCGGGGTGCTCGCGTCCCCCCAGGCAGGACTCGCGCGGCGCCATGGACTCCATGTTCGAGGACGACATCAGCATCCTGACGCAGGAGGCGCTGGGGCCGGACGAGGACTGGCTGGACAGCCCCAACACCGACCTGTCGGGGGAGATGTGCTCGGCCTCACACTTCGCCCTCATCACCGCCTACGACGACATCAAGAACCGCCTCACCGGGCTGGAGAGGGAGAACTCCACGCTCAAGCGGCGCCTCAAGATGTACGAGGTCAAGGTGAGGGCCCCGGGGCCGCGGGCTGGGGGGGAGGCAGGGGGCCGGGGGTCCCGCTGACGGCTCTGCCCCGCGGCCTCAGTACCCGCTGATCGGCGAGTTCGGGGAGGAGCACATCTTCTCTGCCTACGAGGCCAAGGAGACGTCGCTGCTCAAGAGCGAGAAGGCATCGCTGCAGCAGCAGCTCAACCAGTTCCAGCACGAGGTGAGCGGGGCCGGGGGCACCGGGGATCGTGGGGGGTCCCCAGGCCGTGTGCTGACCCCCCAACCCCTGCCCCACAGCTGCAGAAGAGCAAGGAGCGTGAGGAGCAGCTGGACGAGATGATCCAGGCCTACGAGAAGCTGTGCGTGGAGAAGGCAGACCTGGAGTCGGAGCTGGGCGAGATGGTGGGCGCCTGCGGCTGGCGGGGGCGCTGGCATGGGGGGGGTCACTGGGGGCCCCTTCCCCACGCTGGGCAAATCGCTTCTCCCCCCGGCGAGCTGTGGTGGCCTCGGTGCTGCTGTCGGTGCCACCGCTGGGACTCGGCAGGGATGCGGTGATGCGGGGCTGCTGGTTTGGGGTGCCAAGCTCCGGGTGTGCAGGAGGCACGGGGGCAGGATTAACTGGGGGGGGGGCGGTGGGGCTCACCCCTCTGCCCCCCAACAGCGGGCGCTGGTGGAGACGCACCTGAGCCGCATCCGGAGCCTGGAGCAGCAGCTGCGGCAGCGCGATGGCGGCGCCTTCCCCGGCCTCAGCGCCCCGCTGCCGGGCCAGGAGGTGCCGTTCCTGTCCCTGCACCCCAACCCCGCGCTGAGCCACGGTGAGCCCCCCCCCCACACACACCCCACGGCTCCCCTCTCCCGGGGGGCACCCTCCGGGCCGTGGCGCTGAGCTGTGCCGTGCCCGCAGTGCTGGATCGCCCCGCGGGCTGGCCGAGCCGCGGGCTGGAGGCCGAGCTGGAGGCTGCCCGGCAGGAGGCTCAGCGCGCACAGCACCGCGAGGAGCACCTCAAGGCCGAGTGCGAGCGGCTGCAGGCAGAGCTGAAGCACCTGCAGGACACCCGCCAGCAGGTACCGTGCGGGTGGGGGGCGGCCGCGGGGCCATGAGGTGGGGGCCGGGGGCTCACGGCCGTGCCCCGTCCCCAGGAGCAGTCGGAGCGGGACATGGCCTGGGTGAAGAAGATGGGCGACGACCAGTAAGTGCCTGGGGTGCGTGGGGGGTGGGGGCACCGGGGGGGGGACCACGGGAGGATGGGGGGCACGGGGGGGGGCGCACGGACACGGGGGTGCTGGGGGGGCACCCGCTGCGCTGTCACCCTCCCTGGGCGCAGGGCTGGGGGGGGCTGCCCCTGCCCCTGCCCCACCGCTTCTCTGCCTCATTGCAGGGGGGGGCGGGCAGGGGGCGCCGCGACGGTGGGGGGGGGAGCGGGGGCCGCCTCCAGAGGGCGCTGCTGCCGCGCAGGCACCGCGCCGGGCTGGGCTGTACTGGGCTGTACTGGGCTGTACTGGGCTGTACTGGGCTGGGCTGTGATGCTCCGGTGCTGCCCCGTGCCGTGCCATGCATCTGGCAGCACCAGCAGCGTGCCCAGGCTGCTCCCACAGCCACCAGCTCTGCACGATCCCCACCAGCAGTTTTTGGTGATTTATTTTAATTCAGCGCAGGGTGCGGAGCTGCCACAGTGCCAGCAGCAATGGGGGGGGGGTCTCTGCTTGGGGTCTCTGCTCGGGGTCTCTGCTTGGCCTCCCCCTCGCTGCCGCGCTGAGCCCCAGGGGCACCGCCTGGCTCCAGGAGAGGGACCGGGAACCCCCGGCCTCAGGGGGGGTTGGTCCAAGCCCCCCCCAGGTTTGGAGCAGGCCCAGGGGAGCTGTCGGGCTGGGCCAGGCCAACGCGGGGCACGGTGCGGCGATGTCCCCCCGAGCACCACGCTCCCCCCAGCAGCAGCCACCCCCGGCCCGCTCTGTTAGGAGGCAGCCCCGTTGTGCCGCTCTCCTCCTCGTTCCAGCCCCGGGCGCCCGTACCCACGCTCGGGACGTGGTGGGGGCTCCGTTCCCTCGCCCCCCACATCGTGCAGCGCTGCGTCTCCTGCGGGCGGGCGGCAAGGTGCCGGGGCCGGCCGCGCCGAGCTGTGGACAGATAAAAGCTGACGCGTGGGGCTCGTGGGGCGCGGGGACGGGAAGGTGCCGGGATTTTTTCCCCTCCTTTTTCTCGCCGTGTTGATGCCGTCACCGTTTGTTTGTTGTCTCCCTGGAGTAAATCAGCGCCTCGGTGGCAGCGGGGCCGTCCTGATCCGCGCTGATTTCCCCCCGAGGCTGGGGCTGACCGAGGGCTGCTGCAGCCCCGGCTCCCCGCCTCGTGTCCCAGCAGCCACCCTTCACCCCCCGGGCTCCCTCCCTTTAATTCGCTTTGGTTTTGGCAAAGCTCAGCCCCACCACGGCCAGGAGAGGCAGAGGCAGGCGTCCTCCCCCCCTTGCCACCCAGCTCCCAGCCCTCCCCAAAGCAAAGCTCCCAGCTCCTTGTTGGGGATCCCCAAACCCTCTGCAGTTGGGGTGGGGAAACTGAGGCCCCGCAGGCTCCGTGCCCTCTGCCCGGGGACAGCAGCAGAGCAAACCCCACTTTTTGGGGCATTTCAGCGCTTTCTCAGGGCTGGGATGGAGAATAAGTTTTTCCTCCACGGCGTTGTCTTTTCTTGTAAATAAGGCTCTTTTTTGTAACCTGCTCCTTTCCACCACTTTTTTTTTCGGCGTGAAGGGCACGTTATCTCTGCTTTTCATCTTTGGGTGACTTTTCTTTCTTTCTTTTGCCAAATTAGTCAGCCTGCCTCTGTAGTGCGCCCGCAAGGGCAGGAGGGGTTGGGGTTTGACTCACTGCCTTCGATGGCAGCGCTTGCTTTTGTTGTGGAGGCGGCCACGCGATCGCCACTGCCGCGCCTGCTCCTTTTTGGGGGGCAAAGGAGACTTTGAGCCAATTCCTGGTGCAGCCACGGCAAAGTGTCTTCAGTGACCTCAGCAGCGTGGAGGGAAGCACCTGGCTTTTATTTTTTCCTTGATTTTGTCCTTTTTTTGTCCCTTCCCAGCTCCTGGCCGCTCCCACCTGCCCCTTTCCCATCCGGGTGCAGAGAGGCTGGCGCAGCCCCAGGGGTTGCGGGAAAATTTTGGTTTCCCCAAATTTTGATGGGCTTTTGTGGGTTTTAATGAATCTCAGGGGCCAGCTCCCTGTGCAGCGTGGGGTGGGCTGAGCACAATCCCCTCGGTGCACAGGGGCACGGTGGCACCTTGGGGACATGCCCGGTGGCTGCAGGCCGACGCCAGCCCCCCCATGGGGCCAGCAGCCGGTGCTGGTCCCGGTCTGACCCTGAGCACCCATGGGTGCTGCTGCCACGCCTGCCGGCCTCCTGCAGCCGCTGCAAGGAACCTCCCCAGCCTCGCTCTCCGTCCCCGGTGTCCTGCGGGCCAGCAGGGTGCGGAGCAAGCAGGAGGGGAGCAGGATCCGTCCCGCTGTGGTGGCAGTGCCGGGATGTCCCCGCGCCCCTGTCCCAGCTCCCCGGACCCCGTCCCAGTGGCGGGGGGGTGAGGTCGGTGCCCGGCCGTGCCCCCAGCAGCCCTGGTGCACGCTCCCCCCTTGCCCACCCCCTGCCCACGCGCAGATAGCAGATAAGGCTGTGGTTTGTGCTTTTATTTAAGGGCTCCTTCTTGTTTACCAGGCGTAACTTGCTCGAGGTCACCCCTTCCCCCCTCCCCAGGCAACCGCAGGCCCCAGATGGAGGACAGGCCCCCCCCTGTGCTCAGCACCCCCTGCCTGGCTGGGGGGGGCCGTGTCCTGCTCCTGCACCCACCACCTCCCCAGCGAACGGGGCCTGCGCTGACCCCAGTGGCAGGGAGGAGCCCCCCACGCCCGGCTGGGGCTGGGGGCACTGGGGGGCACCTTGCAGCCGGGTGGGAGCGATGTGATGTGGTTGGCAGCGCTGCCCCCCCCCCGAAATGGCCCCACCACAGCACTGGGCGGGATGCGGGGTCCTGTCCCCATGGGGCAGCTGGGACCCCAAACCCCCCCACCCCCCCGGTCCCCCAGCTTCCTCCAGAAGGTGACCGGGGCTGTGCAGTGGGGGGGGCTGCTCCCTACAAATAGGTGCTGGGTTTGGTTGGAGTGAGCTGTGAGTGCCCCTGCACGTTGTGTGCCTTTATCGGGGTGGGAAGGGGGGGCTTTATAACCCTGGCCTCCCCCATATTTCACCTGGGGACTGTGGTTGTGCTCCCAGCCCTGCCCCATCCCGCCCGGCCCCTCCGCCACCGCTGCCCCCGGCCCTCTCCTGGCCGTGGCATCCCCCCAGGGACACCAAGGGACAGCGGGGAGGGGGCGGGGGGCACCCCTGGGCCAGCGGGAGCCCCGCGGGATCCGGCTGCTCCCGCCAGAGCAGCGTCGCTCCCCGGCACCTCGGGGCCTGTGGGCGGCTGGGTTTTCGGCAGCTGTTTTGTTCTCACGTCTTATCTGCAGTTGCGTATCAAAACTCGCATTTTATCCTGAAACAGCAATTTTTCAGGGCGTGGGGGAGCTGCACCGATCCTCTCCAAAAACCTGGTGGCTGCCCTGGCTCCGGGAGGGGCCCTCGGGGGCTGCCGGTTGCCCCCCATCGCGGTGCTTTGGCCGGGCTCCGGGCTCGGTGCGGGGCTGGGGGCTGCTCCTCGCCCCGCTCCCCCCGGCGCTGTGCGCTCCCCCACCCCAGTGCTGCGGCTTTCACACTTCCTCCCTGCGCTGCAGCGTGACTTCGAGAGGAGCGGGGTGGCCCCGGGGGCAGGGGGTGCTCCGGTCAGCCCAAAGCCAGCACCAGAGCTGGAGCCGGACCCCCGCTTCGAGCTGCTGCTGCCCGGGCTCGAAGTTGGGTCGCGAGCACCGAGGGTTTGGGGAAACGTCCCCTGTGCCCCCCCCCAGAGCCACCCCGCAGGGCTGTGGGGCCTCTGGGGCCGTGACACGGGACCGAGCTGGGGAAACTTCATCTTTTCTTTTCCTTTTCTTTTCCTTTTCTTTTCCTTTTCTTCTCCTGCCCGTGATAAGATCGCGGGGAGGCAGCGCGGGGCAGACCTGTCGGCTGCTGTTACGAGCGGCGCCTCCCGGGTCCCGGGGGTGTCACAACGGCTCAGCTCAACTCGCCCCGCGCCGCGGCGGGCGCGCCGAGCCTGACAGCCCCGCGGGAACCTCCGGAGATGGGTTCTCCCTTCACATCACCCCGGAGAATATGTTTTTTAAAAGTGACACCCAACTTGGGGGAGAACTGATGACTTTGTCAGGGCCTCTGAAAGCTGTCGGGGAGCTCGGCGCCCACCCCCCTGCAGCGCCCTGTGCCCGCGCTCCTGCTCCTCCCGGCACCTGGGCGGCAAGGCACGGCTCCAACTTTTACTTTTTGGGTCAAGGAGCCCGGTTTGGGGTCATTTTAGGTGCGCCCACGGTGCCTGGAGCAGGGAGGGTGCTGCTGGCCTGGGGGCCGGGGTGCTCTGCCCTCGGTGACCGCGCTGTCCCCGCCGCAGGGTGAACCTGGCGCTGGCCTACACGGAGCTGACGGAGGAGCTGTGCCGCCTGAGGAACCTCAGCTCCCTGCAGAGCCAAATCCTCCGCGCGCTGCTGCAGGAGAAGAGCCTCAACGGCGGTAAGAGGGGCCGGGGGCTGTGAAAAACGGAGAGCACGCTGCCTGCCCTCATCCCCCGGGCTCTGCAGCGCTCCTGGGCAGCCCTTTGGGGGCATCCATCCCAGGCGCATCCCTCCCGCTGCTGCTCTCCAGGCCCCCCCCATCCATCCGGGGTGCACGCGGGTGCCGCCGAGCTGACGGGGGCATTTTTTGTGTCTCCCCCCTCCCGTTGTGCTTTGCAGGCCAACGCCACTCCCCGCTGTCCCAGTGCCACTCGCCGGCCCAGCAGCGCCGCTCGCCCGCCCCGCAGTGCCCCTCGCCCGCGCCCGGCCGCCCCCCGGCCCCGCAGTGCCAGTCCCCGGCGCTGCAGCGGCGCTCCCCGGCCCCCCAGTGCCAGTCGCCCGCCCAGCAGCACCGCTCGCCCGCCCCGGGGCCCTGCCAGTCGCCGGCCCAGCAGCGCCGCTCGCCCGTGCCCACCTCCAGCCCCTCGCCCGCCCAGCAGCGCCGCTCCCCGGCCCCGCCACCCTGCCCCTCCCCGGCCTCGGCGTCCCCCCACCGGCTGCCCGGCGAGAGGATGGAGCTGGGCTACGCCAAGCCCTCCAGCCGCCACATCAAGGCCGGCTTCCAGGGCCGCCGCAGCTACTCGGAGGTGAGCAACGTGGCCCTGTACCAGCAGAGCCGCTCGCTCTGGCTGCAGCCCGAAGCCTCGACGCTCCCCAAGCACCGGCCCTACGGCGAGGTGTACCTGGGGGGCACGGGGGCCCCCCTGAGCGCCCGCGAGCCCTTCGAGGAGCACGTGCGCTTCGAGAAGCAGTCGTCGGACGAAGAGGACTGGGCGGTCCCCAGCCCCCCCAGCCCCGAGGTGGGGGCTGTCCGCTGCGCCTCCTTCTGCGCCGGCTTCCCCATCCCCGACACCGCCGCGCACCGGGCAGCTGCCGCCTATGCCAGGACCGAGCACGCCCAGTCCTGGCCCTCGATCAACGTAAGGGGGACCCCTGCCCACCCCAGGGTGCAGGGTGGTGGGTGGGGGCACATGGGGGCTGGGACCCCCCCTCCTGGCAGCCCCGCAGCGTGCCTCGGTTCCCCCCGTGGCTCCCCGGCCCGTGCCCGGCCTCAGAGCGCAATGATGGGAGGGGGCTGGGGGCGAGGATCGGGCCCGGGCCCTGCGGAGGTGGGCTCAGGGCTGCCCCTGTGCCCGCAGCTGCTGATGGAGACGGTGGACTCGGAAATCCGGAGCTGCCCGCTGTGCCAGCTGGCCTTCCCCATCGGCTACCCGGACGATGCTTTGATAAAGCACATTGACTCGCACCTGGAGAACAGCAAGATCTGAGCCCCCCCGCCCGCGCCGCCCCCCCCCAGCCGCGGGCTGCCCCCTCCCCGGACTTTGGATGCTGCATGAGAACACGAGGAGTGACACGGCTCCGAAATACCTCCAAGGATTCAGTAGCTGCGGAGGGACTGACCCCACAGGAGCCCCAGGCCCCTCCTGGCCTCGCGTGTAGGTGGGTTTTCCCCACTCCCCCTTGCCCCGTCCCTGCGTCCACGGAGAATTCGGATGCTCTGGGCTGGGTCTGGGGGCTGCTGGTGGGGACCCGCCTGCACCCATGGGTTTCTCTGCTTGATCTCAGGGAGGATTTGAGGGACCGGGTCCTGGATCTGGCCCCCAGACAGCAGGTGAAGGGAAGGGGCTGCCCCTTCGGGGGCTCACTGGGTCAGAATTGGTTGGGGGTGGGAGGCTGCTTGTTCTCGGTCCCCCACCTCTTCCCACCAGTTCAAGCATCTTTCCAGTCTTTTACATTAAAAGCATCCCCCCCCCCGCCCCCATTTCTCCCTTCTCCCCACAACGATGCTGCTGAGAATCAAACCCCACGGCCCACGGCACAGCATGGACATCCCGCACCACTGCGCTGAGCTCTGCGGCCGCCGGCACCCCTGGGCCCTGCGGGGCCGTGTGGCCACCCCCCCGGCCCCGCAGCCCCCGGCCCCCACCCGCACCCCCCACGTTCGATCTACCTCAAAGCCGCCGAGAGGCCCCCGACGTCGGGAGGGGGGGTCTGCGGCACCGTCCCCCCGTGCTCCGCGCTGCATGCCCCCCCCGTGCCACGGCGCGCACGTCCACGCGCACCACCCGAGGGCTCAGCCGGGGTCCAGCCCCTGCTCCCTCAGGGTCCCCACGCAGGGGGACCCGCGCTCTGTGCAACGCCGCTGAGTCCAATAAAACCCTTCCTCAGTGCCCAAAACACTGCTGGGAGCCAAAGCTGCCACCGCTCTGCTGGTCCCCAGGGACGAGGGGGACGGGCTGCAGGTGTCCTGCATTGGGGCGCGCGGTTCCTTGGTGCCCGTGGGGTGACCGGGTTCGGGGTGCCCGTTGCAAGTAACCTACTAAGGTGTCCCCGTTCCCAGCACAGCGGGATGTTTCGGGTTTACTGCTGTGGCAGGCACGAAGAAATAGGACAATCAAAACCAAAACACCGCCGTGAACCCCGGGGGTGATGGCACGGCCGAGCCCCAGCCCCGCGGGGACAGCGCTGACAGCGGTGCTGTGGCCGGGCCAGTGCCATCGGGGTCCCCGTGCAGTGGGGAAATCCTGCTCCAGGCCTGGGGGGCTGTGGGTGCATGGGGGGGCTCTGGGTGCATGGTGGGGCCGGGGTGTGTGTGTGCGAGGGGCTGGTGGCACAAAACACCATCCCCAAGCTCCCTCTGCTCCGGAGCCGCTCCCTGTGACGGTGCCGAGCGTCACCTGCGGGTCCTTGGGGAGGGTAAAACGGGCATGGGGGCCCCCAGCCCCACCAGGACCCCCCGCTCCGAGCAGCTCCGCTCTGCCCCGGCCCTGCGGTGTGGGGCAGGCGGAGGGGGCGAGAGAAACGCCCGCAGCTCAGGGGCGAGCAGCGAGGCCCCGGCGCGGCGGGGCCCAGACCGCAGCGGAAGCCGGCAGCCGGCGAGGTGCCGCTGAGCGAAACGCGGCTGGGGCGGGGGCGCACCGCGGGGCGCGGGGGGGGCACCCTCGGGCATGACACCAGGGGAAGGTCGCCAAGAGTCCCCGATGGGCACGCTCGCACCTCTGCTGCTGGCCCCCAGCTTGGATAGCAGCCAAACGGTGCCTGCAAACCCTGCCCGGGGTGGGGGTCGGGGTCCCGGGGGGCAGCAGCTGCGGGGAGGGGGCCGTGGGGTCCAGCTGCAGCCAGGTGGCTGCGCACCCAAAGGCGAGGCTCGGAGGATGGGGCTGCCCTGCGCACCGGGGGGCTCCGTCCCTCCCAAACCTGCCCCTGGTGAGGCCTGCAGCCTCCCCATGCACTGTTGGGGGGGGGGTTGGACCATGGTGGGGGGGCTCCCAGCCGATTCTGTGCCCCGCAGGGTGCCCAAGCTTGGAGCCACCACACCCTAATAAAGCCCGGCTGATCTCGGGAAAGCCCAGCCCAGCGGCCCCGCTCCCGTAGGGCCCAGCAGTGTGATGAGTTGTGGCAGTTCCCAGAGCTCAGCAGGGCAAAATTTGGAGGGGGGGGGGGGGGAGGCTCCATCCCTGCTCCCCACAGCTCGGCATCCGCGGGGCGAGAGGTGGCCCCGGCAGGCAGCAGCTCGGGGCTGTGGCGATGGTGTGAAGCAGATACGGGCTCCGCAACGCCTGCGCCCCAGCGGCAGCAGCGCCGCGTTATCGGGGGCCGATCTCTGCATCTGCCGGGGGGAGGAAGAGCAGCACCTGCGGGGACGGGACGGATCCGGCCCCCAGCGGGCACGGGCAGCCCGGGCAGCGAGGCCGCGGTGGCTCCCGCAGGGATGCGCGGCTCCAGGGAAGGGTCCCCAAAGGAGCCAAGCAGGGGGGGGCTGCCCCCCACCCATCCCCCCCAGGACTGATCCTTGCCCGGGGCCGCACTGAGGATACCCAGGGCTGGCAGCCACAGCCTGCCTCAGTCCCAGTCTCCCACTGGTTTGTGCTGGGACAGCGCCGGGCGGGGGTTCGGTGGGGCGCAGGGGCTGCCCCCCCCCCACCCACTCTGCCCCCAGCTCCTCTCTCTCTTTTTTTGAAATCACGTGATAAATTTCAAACGCCGCGAGCCCTGCGGTTACTCATCCCGCGGCCGATTCCTCTGGGGGCGGCTGCCGATGACTCAGGGCGCCAGCCTGGGGGGGCCAGGGGTCCCCGGACCCCTTCCCGACCCCCCCCCCCCCAGGGCTGTGCCGTGCCCCCAGCCCGCAGCAGGCCCAGAGCTGCTGCAGGCGATGCTGCCCCGGCTGCTGCTCCTCCTGCTCTGCTCTGGGGACACCACAAACCTCGGCGGTGGCACCGGCGCTGCCCGGCTCGGTGCCTGTGGGGCCGAGTGTGTGTCCCCCCCCCCCCCCGCACCCCTTGGGGCAGGAGCCGTCCTTAACCCCAGCCCCCCCTTGGCACAGGGCAGCTGAGCCCCGCTGTGCCGCCCGCACCCCGGCCACCCCCTGCCTCAGTTTCCCCAGGCGCAGGGCAGGGGGTGCAGGGAGGGCAGCCCCATTTCCTCTGCCCCCCCCCATTGCTGCTGCCGCCCTGGCAGCTCGCAGCAGGGTGCTGCAAACCACAGCTGGCTGTGGCTTGGGGCTCTCCCTCACCCTCCGGGGCTGCAGCGCTTCCACCCGCACCCCTCCCCGGACCCTGCCCACCTTGGCCGGGGGGGTCCCACAGGGGGGTGGGGGCGCAGACCCCATGTCGGGTTGTGGGGGGGGTCTCATTCCCTGGCTCCTGACCCCCTGCTTGGACCCACAGGCAGGCAGTGCCCCCCCAGCCCCTTTTTTCTCCCCCCAGCCCCGGTGGGACTCGCGTGGCTCCGTGCCGTGCCCACCCCGTGCCCCCCCCCCCCAGCCCACAGTGGGTCTCAGCTCTGTGTTTCCTATACAGCAACTTTCTTTATTTTCCCACCAAAAACCCCCTCTTATTTTGGGTCGGTTGAAAGGTTTCTTTTTCCAGCAGGCTTTCAGTTTTTTTTTCTCAGCATTTCTATCAGTAAGGGGAAAAATGAAGCCACCCGTGCTGCTTCGGTTCTCTGCGCCTCCTGCCAGGGGCTGGTGGCAGCTGGGTCCCGGTGGCACGGGGGCGACGGGGGCTGCTTCCAGGCGGGGGGGGGCGGCGGCAGCGGGGCCTGCGCCATGGAGGGGACACATGGATGTAGTGCGGGGTGAGCTGACACCTTGCCCTCACGGCATCCTCTCTCCTCCAGCCGCCCGCCTCGCTGTCACTTTTGTCACCGATGACCCAAGGGCTCCGTGAGCTCCTGGGATCAGCCCCGCGCACGGGGTAGGGCTGAGGGCTTGGGCAACCCTGGGAGCAGGGCCCCAGGTGACCCCCGACCCACCGCAGGGGCTGCAGCGGCTGCTGGGCCCCCCGGCCCCGGGGCAGGAGGTGGGAGCCCCGCAGGGTGCCCGGCCCCGGGTCCCCTCCTCGGGTTTATAGGAAATGGCACTGCGAGGAAGCGCCCGGCGCTGCTGCCCGGGTGAGCGTTTCTTTCCAGCCGTGGGCGCCGAAAGGCCCCTCTCTGCCACGGATCCGGTGTGAGTCAAAGCCGGAGCCCTGGGGTTTAACCACAAGCCCCAGAGCTGCTGTGTCACGGGGGAGCACCACCAGAGGCGTTTATAAGAAATGGGGGGGCTGCCCAGCCAGGGACGGGACCCTGGCCAGAGCGGGGGCTTTGCCCACGTCAGGAGGAACCCAGGGGATGCAGGAGGGCACGGCGCACAGCCCGTCTTGCCCAGGGCTGCTGCATTTTGGGTTCTCAGCTCAGCCCCATCCCGGGGTGCCCGGTGCCCGCACCACCGCAGGGTGCGCGGCCCCCCCAGCCCCCCGGGGCCATGGCCACGCTCCCCTTGGGTCCAGCTGGGCCCCGTTGCAGCTCGTCCCTACCCCAGGTGTGCCGGCAGCTGCCCACCCCTCGCAGATGTTCCTCCTGGACACCCAGAGCCCCTCGCACCTGCCTCCCCTCCCGGCCTCGGGGAGGGCGTCCGCAGCCCCGGGGAGCTCCCTCGGTGCGCACCGGGGCCAACCCTGCCACCCAGGGGGAGGTGGCGTGTCCCCCCCCAGACCTTCCTCAGCACACAGAGGGTTCAGCTCCTCATCGTCAGCTCTACGGCAGGGACCCCCCTCCCTGCTCCCCAGCACGAGGGGGGCAGCGACCTCAGATGACGGCGGGGGGGCGGCCCCGGCTGCCATGTGCCCAGCGCCGCCGCGGATGCTGCGGAGCGACAAGTGCCACCGGGCCCCCGGGGGCCGGCAGCCGGCCCGGCCCAGCGTGCGGGGCCCACGATCTCGCTGCGGGGAGGTGACGGAGCCAACGCGCCCTGACAAGGGCCTCGCGCCCCCCCGCCGCGGCCAGCGCCTCGGCAGCGCCCGCCAGGGGGGACTTCTCGGCTGTCACAACCAATCTGCGTCGGGGGCAGCGTCTGCCGGCGCTGTAAGTGGGGTTAAATTCGGGGTCACCTGGATCGAGCACGGGGGGGGCTGCTGGAAAATAGCCCCCCCCCCATACACACACACACACACCCCTTGCCCGGGCACCCCTTGTCCCCAGTCGACACCAGGGTGGGATATTTGGGGGGGGTGAGGGGGGCACTGGGGTGAGGCAGAGGGGGAGAAAGCGAGACCCCGGCCCCTGCCCGCCGCGGGGACATCGCGGGGGTGGGCACCACGGCAGCAGCCCCGCGGCAGGCCCGTCCCCGGCGGTGGCAGGGAGCTCGAGCCGTGACCGAGGGGACGCGGGGGATGCGGTGGCCACGACCTGCCCCGGGGGTCCGCTGCCCGGCAGCCCCAAAGCCACCGGGGGCAGCGCCACCCGTGTCTGCCTCAACTCCCCGTGACCCTCCGGGACGGGCGGCGCTGCCACCGTCACCAAGCGGCCCCCCCCCGGGGACACTGTCACGGGCAGCTGGGCCCCGACCGCCCCTGCCAGGAATCGGCTGGAGCTGTGGAAATCCCTGCGGGGACCCTCAGCGCCCCCCCAAAAGCCCCACAGCCACCACAGGGCAGTTCTGGGCTGGGTGAGTGGCGTCTGGGGGCAAATCCCACCTCGTCTGTGCCGGCAGACACCCACCCTCGTCCGAGGCCAAGCCCTGGGGCTCTGGATTTGTTGGGGTCCGGGCAGGTGGGATTTGGGGCTGGGCCCCCTGCCCGGAGCCGCCAGCCCCTGCCCCCTGAGCCCCCCCCCCCTTGTTTTCGGTGCCTGTGTCGCTGCCTGGGCTCGCGCTGAGCAGGCTGCAGCCGCGGGCAGATGCTTTTAACTAGCTGCTGAAATTAAACCGGCTCCGGC